CATGCAACAGCATAGTTAAAAACAACTTACACAATGACTAACAAGATAAAATATTCCAAAAAAAATTTCTAGGCCCCAAAAAGTCTCCTGTAAAATTTTGTTTGTCCTCAATTATTATTCTCTCTCCTGTTTTCAAAATGGCACATTAAACAGAAGCAAAAGAACATGTCCATCAGGAAACATGGGTTACCCAGCCTTTCTACCCTTCTCTTACTGATCTTGACTTGATATAGGAATATTATAACATTAACACCCGCTGTAAATGGATGGTTTCAAGGTGGAGCCAGTGTGCTTTAGCAATGATAATGCTGGCCTTCCATCTCTAGTTCATTCAACATCTGATGAAAGGTGAGACACAGAATTTTAAGCTTATCTTAATGTTCTCTTTACTCTGCAGGTGAGCAAACACTTCTTGTATATAGAAGCTAGCTTAAGATACAGTGTACTTAAGCTTTCTTCCTTATCCTTCCCATCTCCAGCTGCAAATGGAGTTACCTAAAAATAGACAATAAATATGTACCTTATATTATGTAAAGAGTTTTTTTTTTTTTTTTTAACACTTGCTGATCTTTTCTGGCTCCAGAAGCCAAGGATGATTGGGCCTGCTTAGTACTTGGGTGGAAGTCTTCCAAGAAATATTCAGCCTGTAGACTAGACAGGGAAGTTTAAAGCACCATCTTGGAAGAAAGCAATGGCAAGCCACTAGCATAAAGTCACAAGGAGTCATGTTTGACCTATGGGAGATTGAAAAATTACGTTTAGCTTTAGTTTATTGTCATGGAAGTCTTTCTCTAACCAAATAGCAGCTCCTATGGGATGGGTTACAGATATGTTAACACAGTAATTAGCAAGTTGTCTGCCCCACAATTTTAAAATGAGAATTGTTGAATTCCCAGCATTCTCACATGGAATCTCAGGAAGTTGTGGGTATCCTGGCAGCTGCATAAAAGATACAGTACTGTGCAAAAGTTTTAGGCAGGTGTGAAAAAATGCTGTAAAGAATGCTTTCAAAAATATATATTGTAATTGTTTATGTTTATCAATTTACAAAACGCAAAGTGAGCGAACAGAAGAGAAATCCAAATCAATATTTGGTGTGACCACCCTTTGCCTTTAAAACATCATCAATTCTTACAGTTGCACACTTTGGACACTTGCACAAAGTCAGGGA